TGACATTTTTTATACATGAAGAGAACTATAATGAGGGAAATAATTAAATAATGCGAGGTATATGAAGTTATGAATGAGTAAAATTATATATATATAATGAAATACAACCGCAGCATTAGCATTATTATCACCACAAACATAATTGCCGTCATATCATTATCATCCCTTCATAAATTCATACATCTTCATGTACTTCTCTTAATAGCATCTTTTATAATTTATCATATATATATGAATTATATTATATATGGAGAGTAAAAAGGGATCCAAGTGACCATAACTATGTGAGGAGTCTTCGGAAAGGAACAAAATAGTCCTTATTTTCTCTCAAATGTTTATATTAGCCAAGCGGACTACATTTTTATCATTCATCTCGTAATAATCATTTACAATTGCAATATTGGTATCAGCATCATCGTATAAATATCGTAACCATTATAGCATTATTATTCATTCATATCATATCATTCATTCGCATCGTAATATATGTTTATATACCTCTTATCATTTCTTTATATCCCTCCTAATATATATCATTCATGTAATTTATATATATATATATGTGTGTGTGTGTGTGCGTGTGTGTATGTGTGTGTAAGAAGACTTCAGAATTCAATAAAATTATAAGATGTTTTGAGACCCAGGTTGACTGCAGTTACTTTATTGAATACCCATCTTCGAAATCATTATAAATATATATATGTAAATGTATATGAATATTTGCATATACTTATAAATATGTATGAATATGTATATGAATGTTATTTTATAAAAATGTAGAAGACGATTTGTGAGTGTTCAAAATTTTAGTCCTTACAACACTTCGTCAAGCATACATTATGCAATAGGAAATGTTTTTACCCTGTTTTGTTTGATATGATGAAATGTTTCCTTGCTTCTCACCATCAGGACAATCCTATTTCGGGTTGTGAGGTGGTAAGAATAAAAGTATACCAATACTGATTTTTGCAACGAAATTGTTCACTTACGAGTCGTCTTCAAAATGAGGATACTAGACGTAGATGCTTGCCTACAGACTGACCAGCCCGGGGCAATGTGGGTGTTCTGTAAATAGGAGCCTCCTCTGCTTTTGTGCCGTCGCAGGGTTAGTTTAGTTACAATTGCGTTGAGTGGTGCCCGGAGATGAGGGCTTCAGGAGAGTGTAAGACAAAGGCTGCGTGAGCGTGTCATTCTGGCATCGACGATTGACGACCGGCTTGCGTGCAGGCAGTCCACGGAGGACAGGGAACCCGTTGAAGCATTTTGGGCGAAAAGGAGGATCAGGAAAGCAAGTCGGCAACTTTGACAGACTGGCATGTGATGTCGAGTCTGGGAAATAGAGGCTGTTGATCGCATCATTTGCAGACATTCTAAGGGAGGGCCTGTGCAGCAATGGAAATGTCTACAGTGCAACATAAAACACAGCTTGATGAAGGAATGGGAGAGGAAGAATTTCGTCCATAGTCGGCATCCCAACCACTTGCCCCTTTCTCATTTATGCTGCTTCCCTACCATTTTCTGCAAGGGTTCCGCCCAGAGACAATAAAGGACTGTCTTCCTGTTTGTTGTCAGAACATCTCACCCGACCCAGATAAGTTAAGTGGGCCCAGCATGTCGCAAGACGGCAGTTGACATCGTCACATCAATTTGGGGAAATCCGCCAGTCCCAATCGCCCACATGGGATTACACATATCCATGTTTGCATGTGTCTGTTCGTGGGAGGGGGGGTTGTATGGACGTGTGTGTGTGTGTGTGTGTGAAATTATGACCATACAACAGAGAAAGTATGTATGAAAGGAGAAAAATCGCGTGCGCATGTTAATGGGTAGGTGTGTGGGTCTGGATGAGTGGGCCAATTCGATGTACTGCTCGAGCAGCTGTAGCTAAGACGCCTCATATGCGCTTGTGAAGGTATAGAAAGGCAGGCGGAACCCAAGAGCCCTACAGTACCGGCCACTTTGCACCGGGGTAGAGAATGGAATCCATCGAAAATGGGAGATAGACTGTCAAACCGGTAAGGAAGGAGATGGGCAAGTGTGAGCCAAACAACGGTTTTAAAGGTAGAGCGGGTAGGAAGGCTCGCGTGTGATCTCTTACTCAGCAGGCATAGGGGATGGAAGGGAGAGCTTATGGGATAACGGCAGTATGGCCCATTGTTTGGCGCCTCAGGCTGTCAGAGAATTAGGAGAGATTAATGTGACCTTCGAGGGGGGAATCATTTGTTTCGGCTTGCCTCATGCTTTAACGAGCAGGACTGTAAAATATAGTGCTTGAGTTGATTTGCAGTCGCACGAATGTGCTCATTCATGTTTTTACATGCAACTAAAGTCTGTATACATTAGACCCGAATAGCGCAGGAATGAAGGTATATCATTATCAAAATATATCATTCTACTTCATAAGGTGGGGAAAAGAAGGAAAGATCAAATAATAAAATGAAACAAAGTACTTATATAAAAGAGAAGGTAAAACGGGTTAGAGAATAAACGGTTAGAGAAATTAGAGGAAAGATGAAGTAAGAAAATAGGAAATAAATAATGAAATAGGAAAAAAACAAAAAGGAAGAGAGATAAGGAATCAAGAAAAATGCTAGTGAGTAAAAAAAGAATAAGTGCAAAGATAAAATACGAATGATAGAGAAAAAAGAAAATAAGTTAAAAGAAAATTCAGTAGAAAGAAGGAAAGAAAGAATAGAAACAGAGAAAAAGAGGAAACCGATGAAATAATCAAAGAGGAAATGAAAGAAAATGGGAATAGTTGGATAAGAGAAGATAGAGAGAGAAGATAAATAGTGATATAAAAAGGAGAACAGAACAGAAAAGATATTAAGAGATGGGAAAAAATGAGTTGAAATGAGATTAAATGAGATGAGATGAGATGAGATGAGATGAGATGAGATGAGATGAGATGAGATGAGA